TGCTGCTGCTGCTGCTGCTGCTGCTGCTGCTGCTGCTGCTGCTGCTGCTGTATGCTCGGCTATTCACGGACCTGACAGTCGTCACCAACGAATTACTCCTAAAAAGCAAATAAGAATAAGAATTCCCTCGGGCATGCTTAAATCCTCGATCTTTTGAAGTTCCGTCTCAATACATACTTTAACTTCGACGGAACAATCCATAAGTGCATAAAGAGTATGTTAATGGGTTCATCATTTTCAGAACTCATGGCTGAGGCGGTCTTGTAACGGTTGGAATCACTGGTTTTCCAACATAATAGATCGATATTGTGGGCTCAGCATTTGGATGATACGTTCATCGAACGGGATCAGATGTAAAAATTTTAAGAACGACACAATGCCATCTTTAGAGATATTCCATTAACGAGGGAAAAGGAAAAAACAACCAGGTGACCTTTGCTGATGTCACCGTTTGCTGTATAGATTGCAATAGTCTGAAAACAAACGCGTTCAGGAAAGCGACAAATACGATGCAACTGCACATCTTCAAGAGTAACCACTCCATCAGTCACAAACACAATTGCTTAGCGGAGCTAGACCGGTGCATTGAGACACGTTTACATTATTTGCGACGGGTTCTGCGACGGCTATCCACGCAAAGTTTTCAGCTAATACATGCGTAAACGATATGAGAAACTAAACCCTACCGGCCCTCAATGTCGCGTATAAACGCGAAGACAACCTCGGAAGTTGTCAGCCGTCTTCTCAATTCTCGAGTTAGTAAGATTGTGCGCATTCCGGCAGCAGAAATCAGGCGCTAGATCGCAAGGCCGAAGGACCGATTGCCACGACCGGAAACATGCGAATTTCCTGCAGTTGCGGACAGAGCTTCTTTATTAGAGAAACCCTGAGATTAATCTGGACGCGAAAAGCCGAGCACGCACCAGCAGTGAGAAGAAATGCCACTAGCTCTCACTAGTTGCAAGATTCACGAGGCCGAAGCTATAAGAATTGGCAACTGCACATCATGATTATCAGGTCCGCAGTCCATCTACAGGCGCAGAGACTTCCCGATCCCATATTCGGTGCTGAGACATTACCTGTGCAGGGCAATCGGTAACATAGAGTGGGCGCAGCCTGCCAACAATGCCAGGGACCGTGTTTACTAATGACCACAACAAAATGGCTTATTAAATCACGGACAATAACGAATCGCACGGGGATTGGCAAGCCACCAGCATACAAATTCTGACCCTACTCCCTCCTCCCTCCGTTTGTGATTGTGAGGACGGCTAAT